TCGAGACGATGATTAAGGGTCTTATCAAGCGAAACGATCGCTCATTTAATAAATAAATAACAAAGTTTAAGTTTTATAAGCTCAAATGCTCGCCTTGCTCTGTTCTAAGGTGATGCTCGTTCGTGAATCTCCTGTTCGAACTTGTTCATCAAAATGAACGAATCTTTTTCCGAGTCAATACGTTCATTTTGTTCGTTGAATGAACCAAATGACACGAAAAAAGATTTGCTCATTTTGATAAACGAGTTCGAACAGAAGAGTCATGAACGATTTAACAAGCCTAAGTTTAACAGATTTGTTTTTTTGGTGTTTTTGGTGAAATTTAAAGGAGTAGTTCACTTAAAAAAAAAAAAAAAAAAAACTTTTGCTAATAATTTACCCACCCCCATGTCATCCAAGATGTCCATGTCTTTCTTTCTTCAGTCGAAAAGAAATTAATTAATGGCTTTGATGAAAACATTCCAGGATTTTCTCCATATAATGGACTTCAATGGGAACCAAACGGTTCAAGGTCCAAAAGACAGTTTCAGTTCAAACTGTTCAAGGGGCTTGAAACGATTCCAGACGATGAATAAGGGTCTTATCAAGCGAAACGATCTCTCATTTAATAAATAAATAACAAAGTTTAAGTTTTATAAGCTCAAATGCTCGCCTTGCTCTGTTCTGTGATGCTCGTTCGTGACTCTCCTGTTCGAACTTGTTCATCAAAATGAACGAATCTTTTTCCGAGTCAATACGTTCATTTTGTTCGTTGAATGAACCAAATGACACGAAAAAAGATTTGCTCATTTTGATAAACGAGTTCGAACAGGAGAGTCATGAACGATTTAACAAGCCTAAGTTTAACAGATTTGTTTTTTTGGTGTTTTTGGTGAAATTTAAACTTTAAAAAAAAAAAAAAAAAAAACTTTTGCTGATAATTTACCCACCCCCATGTCATCCAAGATGTCCATGTCTTTCTTTCTTCAGTCGAAAAGAAATTAATTAGTGGTTTTGATGAAAACATTCCAGGATTTTCTCCATATAATGGACTTCAATGGGAACCAAACGGTTCAAGGTCCAAAAGACAGTTTCAGTTCAAACTGTTCAAGGGGCTTGAAACGATTCCAGACGATGAATAAGGGTCTTATCAAGCGAAACGATCGCTCATTTAATAAATAAATAACAAAGTTTAAGTTTTATAAGCTCAAATGCTCGCCTTGCTCTGTTCTAAGGTGATGCTCGTTCGTGACTCTCCTGTTCGAACTCGTTCATCAAAATGAACGAATCTTTTTCCGAGTCAATACGTTCATTTTGTTCGTTGAATGAACCAAATGACACGAAAAAAGATTCGCTCATTTTGATAAACGAGTTCGAACAGGAGAGTCATGAACGATTTAACAAGCCTAAGTTTAACAGATTTGTTTTTTTTGGTGTTTTTGGTGAAATTTAAACTTTAAAAAAAAAAAAAAAAACTTTTGCTGATAATTTACCCACCCCCATGTCATCCAAGATGTCCATGTCTTTCTTTCTTCAGTCGAAAAGAAATTAATTAGTGGTTTTGATGAAAACATTCCAGGATTTTCTCCATATAATGGACTTCAATGGGAACCAAACGGTTCAAGGTCCAAAAGACAGTTTCAGTTCAAACTGTTCAAGGGGCTTGAAACGATTCCAGACGATGAATAAGGGTCTTATCAAGCGAAACGATCTCTCATTTAATAAATAAATAACAAAGTTTAAGTTTTATAAGCTCAAATGCTCGCCTTGCTCTGTTCTGTGATGCTCGTTCGTGACTCTCCTGTTCGAACTTGTTCATCAAAATGAACGAATCTTTTTCCGAGTCAATACGTTCATTTTGTTCGTTGAATGAACCAAATGACACGAAAAAAGATTTGCTCATTTTGATAAACGAGTTCGAACAGGAGAGTCATGAACGATTTAACAAGCCTAAGTTTAACAGATTTGTTTTTTTGGTGTTTTTGGTGAAATTTAAAGGAGTAGTTCACTCCAAAAACTTTTGCTGATAATTTACCCACCCCCATGTCATCCAAGATGTCCATGTCTTTCTTTCTTCAGTCGAAAATAAATTAATTAATGGTTTTGATGAAAACATTCCAGGATTTTCTCCATATAATGGACTTCAATGGGAACCAAACGGTTCAAGGTCCAAAAGACAGTTTCATTTCAAACTGTTCAAGGGGCTTGAAACGATTCCAGACGATGAATAAGGGTCTTATCAAGCGAAACGATCGCTCATTTAATAAATAAATAACACAGTTTAAGTTTTATAAGCTCAAATGCTCGCCTTGCTGTTCTGTGATGCTCCTATCTCTCCTGTTCGAACTCGTTCATCAAAATGAACAAATCTTTTTCCAAGTCAATTCATTCATTTTGTTCGTTGAATGAACCAAATGACACGAAAAAAGATTTGCTCATTTTGATAAACGAGTTCGAACAGGAGAGTCATGAACGATTTAACAAGCCTAAGTTTAACAGATTTGTTTTTTTGGTGTTTTTGGTGAAATTTAAAGGAGTAGTTCACTTTAAAAAAAAAAAAAAAAAAAAAAAAAAACTTTTGCTGATAATTTACTCACCCCCATGTCATCCAAGATGTCCATGTCTTTCTTTCTTCAGTCGAAAAGAAATTAATTAATGGTTTTGATGAAAACATTCCAGGATTTTCTCCATATAATGGACTTCAATGGGAACCAAACGGTTCAAGGTCCAAAAGACAGTTTCAGTGCAAACTGTTCAAAGGGTTTTAAACGATTCGAGACGATGAATAAGGGTCTTATCAAGCGAAACGATCGCTCATTAAATAAATGAATAACAAAGTTTAAGTTTTATAAGCTCAAATGCTCGCCTTGCTCTGTTCTGTGATGCTCGTTCGTGACTCTCCTGTTCGAACTCGTTCATCAAAATGAACGAATCTTTTTCTGAGTCAATATGTTCATTTTGTTCGTTGAATGAACCAAATGACACGAAAAAAGATTCGCTCATTTTGATAAACGAGATCGAACAGGAGAGTCATGAACGATTTAACAAGCCTAAGTTTAACAGATTTGTTTTTTTGGTGTTTTTGGTGAAATTTAAACTTTAAAAAAAAAAAAAAAACTTTTGCTGATAATTTACCCACCCCCATGTCATCCAAGATGTCCATGTCTTTCTTTCTTCAGTCGAAAAGAAATTAATTAGTGGTTTTGATGAAAACATTCCAGGATTTTCTCCATATAATGGACTTCAATGGGAACCAAACGGTTCAAGGTCCAAAAGACAGTTTCAGTTCAAACTGTTCAAGGGGCTTGAAACGATTCCAGACGATGAATAAGGGTCTTATCAAGCGAAACGATCGCTCATTTAATAAATAAATAACACAGTTTAAGTTTTATAAGCTCAAATGCTCGCCTTGCTGTTCTGTGATGCTCCTATCTCTCCTGTTCGAACTCGTTCATCAAAATGAACAAATCTTTTTCCAAGTCAATTCATTCATTTTGTTCGTTGAATGAACCAAATGACACGAAAAAAGATTTGTTCATTTTGATAACAAAGTTTCGAACTCGTTCATCAAAATGAACGAATCTTTTTCCGAGTCAATACGTTCGTTTTGGTGTTTTTGGTGTTTTTAATTGATTGCAGTGATGCTTCGTCATAAACATTCAGCCGTGAGATCCTTGAAGACTCTTCCCGATCTCCTTTCATGAATGGGAAATATGCCACATTATAAAAACCTGGTTATTTTGCAAGTCAATATATTTTGCAAGTCAAGTTAAAAGGTAATCTTCTCGATGCGTTTGACAGCTGGTTTCACATGTTGTTTTTCAGCACTTTTCCGAGGTCAGTTAAGTGTTATCTTCCGGAGAGGTTCGAGTTGTGCAACGGGGATCTGAAACTGCCCATAGTTCAGCTTGAAGCCGTCCGGCTAGGCCCATGGATATTTCCCAACATGTTCCTGGACTAAGTGAACCCACTGAACTGGATTTACATGTGACTCAGTGTTGCTATAGGCTGTAAATGAATATCAATTATTATTTGACTATAATAAGACTAATTGGAATTTTAGTATACATATCGTAGATTCATGCTAATTTCCTTTTTGCGTATGTTTCACACAGCTTTCTGCAACCAGTTGAGGTCTCAGAATGTAGTGATTTCTGGGTACAGCATTGAGTGTTACGACCATATTTAATGAGCATTGGGAGATTATCATCAAGAACAATTACAGACTTGATGGTGATGAAATCTATTTTAAGTAAAATCCAAATCCCACTTCTTAAAGGGACAGTTCATTAAAAAAAAAAGTTGTTTACACTTGATGCGCCACATCTGTATCACACAGTTCTGACTTTTTTTCTCGCAATGGTGAGTTTATAATTCGAAATAATCGAAATTCAAGTCTGAATTGTAAGATAAAAAGTCACGATTACCTTTTTAATGTTTTATTCTGTGGTGGAAACAAGCTTCCAGATAGAATATATATTTGTGCTCTGCATAAGAAAGTCAAATGAGGATATAATTATTTCCGGGTGATTATTTCTATTAATTCCATAGCCAAAATGCATGTGAAACAGGCCTAAATGAAGTGAAGAAATCGGTCTGGCATCTATAAAGCTTTGCATGTTCACATGTTTTAGAATAGCTATGATCACAGTTAGCATAATTGTGATTACTTTGGTCTAACTACAAATACCACGGCGTTGAGCATGTGTCTTCCATCAGTATCTCAACAGTGCCTGGAGCGCGCTTATGGTGAGGACCCGAGGGTGACGCGCGCCCCCTTTTCATCCTCGACCCAATTTGCATATCATATACATACATTTCTGCATGAAATTAGAGATTAGGGTATTTATATCTTCTGACGCGCCCCAGATCGCACGAAGCTCTTGCTTCAGACTGTAACCAGAAGCTTGGAATGCGAACGCGTTTTGTTCCACCAGGCGCTTCAACAACGGGCGCGAACCATTGCCAAAAAAAAGGGGGGGAGCCTTTTTCAAGAACGGGGTTTCTTTGACATTCAGCTTCCGAGTATAGATATGTTGGAGGGTTGGCTACAGGAATAGCTTTTCATAACACATACGCCACATAACTGTCCTCAAACACCACACACCGACGACTCGAGCTCGATGGAAGATTTCGCGCTCCCCCATCCATAACTCAAGTCGACTTATTTGATTGACGGCTCCATATTTTTTGTAAGATTTTTTTTTCTTCTTCTGTGGCTTCAGTAAGGACAAAAAACGGGGCAATACAGAGCAAGGAAAAGAGGGAGAGAAAATAACAAACACCGCTGGAAAGAAAGTACGAGCGCAAGAGCACTGGGAGCCACCCAGGGAAAAATACATATATTTCAAAGACAAAGGACTGTCGACTTTTGCTTATTTTTGTATTTTAGGGAAATTGGGCACGTCGTCATCATAATAATTTAAGTGCAAGGTAAGTGCAATTTTATGACACGCTTTTCTTTATGTATGTATGCAGTTCTATATCGGGTATGTGTCTAAATGCATGCAACTGTTGCCCGTATGTCACGATTTGTTGTGCACAAAGGAATTAAACGTAAACATTCATAGACAATATGAGCTAATCGTGCCGTTTTAAACGACACATGAGACGTGACCTAATCTGTTCCAGCGGCTGGACACTTGTAAACATATAGCACGCTTGATATTACCCATGACTGAATAACCTCAAGGTTGCAAGCATTAGAGAAACCATCCCACATTTTTTTTCCAAGAGTTTTTGTTGGATTTAAGTACGCGAACGTCACTTAACATGTCAGTTTACTAGTGCGTTAATTGATGATGGTCTTTGTTCATGCATTGCGCAGGAGAAATGCATGCTACGTGTGCATTTGTTGATGCGAACTTGAATTGTGAAATGAAAACATTGGCTCCCGCATCAGGCTTGCAGCTCCAGCTGTGGACTTTTCCGCGGTTCTGCAGAACGTACGCGCCGTGGCTGAGGAGAATGTGTGTCAATGTCAAAGGGAGGTGTGTCGCGGGCCCAGACAAACCCGCAAAAGCCTTTTCCAGCCACGACTGCACGCAACAAACACGCACAAAGACTCACCGAGATACACTGGTTTATCTGGGGTCTTGGTAATCAGTGATTCATACTAGGCTACAAGCTTTAAAGAGATAATTCACCTAAAAAAAAAAAAAAAACGTCATTTTTTTCCTTTTACATTAAAGCAAAATAATTAATATAGCCTATGCGATGTAAACTCTACTTGTTTTCATGAAGAAAAATTGACTCATTCACACCGTTTAGCTCCAAAAATAGCTACCAAAATATGTTCGAAGAACGTTTTGCTGACGTTCCATTTAGTTCTGAAAACGTTTTTTTTTAATGTTCTCAGAATGTTCAATGTTCAAATTTGGAGTTTGGAAGTTTGTGTCCGCCATTGAACAAAACTTTTTATCTTCACAATTTAGATGTTATCTCGCAATTGCAAGTTTGCATTACACGATTCGATTTTTTTTCCCTCTCGAAATTGTAAGATATGAACTCACACTTGCGAGAAGAAAATATTTCTCACTCCCTTTTTGCGAAATGTTTGATTTTTTTATATATATATAGTTCATACTTGCATGTAATTCTAAATGTATAACGCACAATTCTGACTTCATATCTCGCAATTGCAAGTTTATATCTTGCAATTTTGACTTTATAACTCACAATTTTGACTTTATATCTTGCAATTGCAGGTTTTCCAGATAGCAAACTGACATTGAATCAACGTGGAAATATGACATCGAAACAACGTTGATCTGACATTGTTTTGCTCATCGAATTAACGTTGAACCAACGTCAGACGCGTCATTCTTTCAAAACTAACGGAAAATCAACTTGAAATCAACGCGTTGTTTCAACGTTATGAAAGCAAACCAATTTTCGATTTTCATTTAGCTTTGAAGAATGCCGCGTCTGACGTTGGTTCAACGTTAATTCGATGAGCGAAATCAACGTTGTTTCAATGTCATGAGAGACGTCGTTTCCACGTTGATTCAATGTCAGTTTGCTGTCTGGGTTATATCTTGCAAAACTTCTATTTCAAGAATTGCGAGATAAACTTGGAATTGTAAGTAAAATAATCCAATTTTGACAATTCGGAATTGCGACAAACTCGTAATTTCGAGAAAAAATTTGCAATTGCTATAAAAATAATCTCAACTATCTTTTTAAATTTTTTATTTTTATATCATTTCACAAACATCACGTTTATTCTGAATGCTTTCTGAACCATCTGTAACAACTAATAAGTAACTTGACACGAACATTCAATTGAAATGTTTTAGAAAAAAGATTCCATGACCAATGTATAAATACCGTTTTGCGCAAATGCTTTGATAACGTTATTAAAGACCAGAAAATTTTGAGCGGAAGAATATTTGTTAATAACTTTGAGAGAATGTTCCCTAGCTCGAATAAAATGAGTCCTAGTATTATGGAGACATTCGATATCTTTGTGCGAGTATCAATTTTGAGAAAATATTCAAACACAGCACTCAAATTTGCACATTAAAACCAGTTACATTATGATTGGTTATGTTAAAATGCCTTTTTGAAGATTTGATGTAAATAGAATATCATGATGTGGAGTTCTCTTCTAGTCAATGATTAGCATATTCTGTCTTGATAATCTATAAATCATGTTCCGGGGGCGGGGTTTATGTAAATTAGGGTGTGTGATGTCACTAACCCGGGAGGAAGCTCGTGTAGTTCTACCAGCCGTTTGTTGTAGTCCTTAAAAAAGCAAATCTCTCCCTTCGCTCTGAACTCTGAGTGTTGTAACTCTGCAGATGTTGTTTATGCTCAAACTGCAACATTACACACTGACTAAAGCTGGAAAATCATAATCACCCGCCCTTTAATCTTTCATCAGCAGTTTAGTGTTTGTTCCCTCCTCTAATTTGAGTGGTCTGAGCTCCGGCTGTCATGTGTGTGTTGCTTGGTGACACATGACACTTGATCCCGCTGATTTCCAATGTAACAACGCTCTTTCTGGTGTGATAATGTTTACATAATACCTCGCTCCGCCTCTAAAACCATTTTTCTTAGCGGTTGATGACGTCATCGATCCCTCTTAGTTTGAATCCCCAACAATCGGGGTCCACAACTAAAAGTCCTATTAAGGATTTCATTGTATTTTAAGTGACATTTCAGTCTGGTCCTCGTGGTCCTCACTCAAATCTAGCGTTCAGCTTCAGCTGTATTTTATGGCGCTTTCTCGTCTTATGTGGAGCTTGACAGTGTGAGTCATCTCCCGTTTTAGTCTCCTTTCATGCTAAAACAAGATTAGCATGAGTCAATTACATAACTTAATCTTTAGATGAAGTGTTCCTTTAAAGGCACGGGTCTCTGAATGTGATGTCCGTTCACAGCTGGTGATGTCAGAGCAGCTGTCTCAGGATCTGGCCATTACAGGTCAACCGAGACAGAAGACACCAGTGTAGAGGCTCACTGATCTCCAGGCTGTCATGTGTTCGTCATTCCTTCATATGTTCATCATTCATGTGTTCATCATTCTGTACATCTGAGCCATGAGGAGAACAAACGCTAGTCAACGCTTGTGAAACCAGAAAACGTGCAGATTAAGGGCTGGTGATATTCTAATAAGATCCCCTTCTTACATCAGAAGGGGAGCGAAATCTGATTGGCTTATTTTTTGACATGCTTGCAGAGAAAGGCTCACCAAAATAAGTTTTCTGGGTTGGTAGACTCACAGGGGACCCGAACAAGTCCGATTGTCATAATTAGGGATGCACGATATATCGGCCAGCATATCGGTATCGGCCGATATATGTTCATTTTTAATGTTATCGTTATCGGCCTGGTAAAAAAATTTGGCTGATATATTAAAGCCGATAAATAATGTATTATTCCCTTCAGCTGAGACACTTGTTGAGCACTGTTTATGTATTTGAATTTCTTGAAATATGATTGAAATCTCTGGTTCGGGACAACATGTGCAACGCAAATCTGTCGTATCGGCTATACAACACTATAATAAGAACATCATTATAATTGTGCGCTTGGGACATGGATTTAATTGTGAGACTTTTGTTTTTGTAATCAGGCTCTCAAAATTAGATAAAAGTTTATCGGCCGATATATCGGTTATCGGCTTTCAAATATAAAGAATTATCGGTTATCGGTATCGGCCGAAATTTTCATATCGGTGCATCCCTATTGAAACCAATCAGCCAGTTTGGAGGAGCTTCAGATGTTATGTTGGACAATGAGGAGCCTTCGATTAAAAAAAAGGTTGAGAATATCCTTCTTTTTGTTAATTTAGGGAAAAACATGTGAAATACACTACCATATATTTACACTTTTGTTACAATGACTGTTAGACCCTCTGATTGAAATCCCCCCCAACCACCAATTTCAAGCCAATTTAAAGCAAATTTATGTATTTAATATATTATAAATTGTGAAAAGAAGCCATTGTCACGCAGGCTTGTTGTAAGCAGTCGTTAATAAGTGCAAGTGTCGTCATGGGTTGGGTATCTGTCTCCGCCCATGCTTTTGGCTATAGAGTTGTATCGGGACTGTGATGTTGTGAAAGTAATTATAGAATAACATTTTTAGGCAACATTTGCAACAGCTTTCCTGTTTTTTCTTGTTTCTTGTGCAATGAATGATATTATGTTATGAAACGTTGAAGCGCTGCAGAATTTGGGGTTTACATAAGCGGAGGAGTTTGAGGCGATGTCCTCATGGCCTGATCATGGTTTGCTTCTGCATAATACGATCTGGAGGGGTTTTCGTGTGTCGCTTCCAAACGGTGATGAGCCTCCAGCGTGAAGGTCGTTGGAGGAATGAGTGTGTGTTGGAGAGAGAGAAGATGTTGTGTTTCAGTGAGGTGACTCTTTAGTGATGCACATCGGTTACGCAAGGACTCTTAATCATGTCAAGTGTTTGGTTCTCTTTAATGAACCGAGTCACTGTGATTTATCTGAAAGTTCACAAGGACACGCTGAGATATTCAGACCAGGAACAACAAGAGTGAGATTCCTTCATTCACACTGCTGGAGAGAAAGAACAGAACAGACATGACAGGAAATGATAGATAGATAGATAGATAGATAGACAGACAGACAGACAGACAGACAGACAGACAGAAAGACAGATAAATAGATAGACAGACAGATGGATATATAGATAGATAAATAGATAGACAGACAGATGGATAGACAGACAGACAGAGAGACAGATAGATAGACAGACAGATAGATAGATAGATAGACAGACAGACAGACAGATATATATATATATATATATATATATAGACATACAGACAGATATATATAGACAGACAGACAGACAGAGAGACAGACAGACAGACAGACAGATGAATAGATAGACAGACAGATGGATAGATAGATAGATAGATAGATAGATAGATAGATAGACAGACAGACAGACAG